GGGCGGTCCGGCCCGCCGGGCTCCGCGGGACCTTGGTAGGCGGCCTCTTCAAACTCCACCCTGGGCGCTGAGGAGGGACGGCGGGGAGGAACGAGAGCGCGTTAGGGTAGACCCGGACTCCCCCCCCGGAAAACGCATTAGGGCGGAGAGAGGGAAAGATGTTCACGTCCGTTTAATAACGGCGCAGAGGCAGGGCCGGGCGCAGCGGCGGCTCACGCCTGTCGTCCCAGCACTCTGGGAGGCCGAGGCGGGAGGATCGATGGTTCGAGGTCAGGAGTTCGAGACCAGCCTGAGCAAGAGCGAGACCTCCCGTCTCTACTGAAAATAGAAAGAAATAAGCTGGACAACTAGAAATATATAGAAAATATTAGCCAGGCGTGGTAGAGCGTGCCTGTGGTCCCAGCTACTCAGGAGGCTGAGGCAGGAGGATTGCTTGAGCCCAGGAGTCTGAGGTTGCTGTGAGCGAGGCTGCTGCCACGGCACTCACTCTAGCCCGGGCGACAGAGTGGAGACTCTGGCTCAAAAAAAAATCAATAATATATACATAAAAAAACAGGCATGGAGGTAAACAGCTTACAGGCATAAACCTCTCAATTCATACTTATATAAAAATAAATCTATTTGTGACCCCGTAGGAGTCTCACATGTTCCTTGGGAAAAGCAATAGAATGGGGGAAATGTTTTTAGACACTTTGAAAATGCATGATGTCCAAGGCATTGGACATCTTGGCATTCTAGTTCACTGAATGTATTAAAATTTTGTGCAATTGTATTCAAGGGTCCTGCCCCAGATACAAGGGAACTTTGACCGTAATATCGTATTGGCATGGATTCAGTTTTGCGCATCTATGAGATGTGAGGTTTCTAAGGCCTTACCATGCAACTCCATCTCACCTGATACCAATGAAATTGCCACCCCCCTCTTCCGCATTGCTTGTTCTTTTTTTTTTTTTTGACTACAGAAAGTCTCGGCTCTGTTGCCCAGCTAGAGTGAGGTGCTGTGGGCGTCAGCCTCGATACAGCAAACCTCTTACCGTCTTCCTCGTTGGATATGGTGACGGTGGCCACGTGACTCTTGCCGATTCTGGCTCCGCTCCAGTGGTTCCCCAGGGGGTGGCCCAGGTGCAGCCTGAACTGCTCCTCTTGCTCAAACACGGAGTCGTCACGGATGTACACGGTGCAATTCTTCACCTAGAGCCAAGCACACAAGACAGACTGAAACCTGCTGCAAGATGTCGGTGAGTTGCACGGTTTTCCTAGAAAATGGTGTTTTTCCTTTGCAGCCTCAAGAGTCAACACAAATGCAAAAGGTCGGCCGGGCGCGGTGGCTCACGCCTGTCATCCTAGCACTCTGGGAGGCCTAGGAGGGAGGATCGTTCGAGGTCAGGAGTTGGAGACCAGCCTGAGCAAGAGCGAGACCCCGTCTCTACTATAAATAGAAATAAATTAGCTGGACAACTAAAAGTATATAGAAAAAATTAGCCGGGCGTGGTGGTGCATGCCTGTAGTCCCAGCTACTCGGGAGGAGGCTGAGGCAGGAGGATGGGTTGAGCCCAGGAGTTGGAGGTTGCTGTGAGCGAGGCTGATGCCACGGCACTCTAGACTGGGCGACAGAGTGAGACTCTGTCTTAAACAAACAAACAAACAAACAAAAACCAAATGCAAAACGTTTTGTTCATACAACAGAAAGTTTAAACTGAACAGTTCGTGCCTCAGTGGGCCTCACTTGTATGTGAGTACTGGTACTAAAACATTCCGGCCAATTATGAATTACCGGCGATGAGTTATGGAAAACAAGATCCATAAAACAACCCCTTGGAAAGCACCTGTGGAACAGGTGTGTGCTTTCCCACCTTCTTGTCTGCTCGATACATTTGCACGTGTTATAGTAGGTACCGTACCGGAGTTTCCTCCGAGAATAACCCTAAATCATAAAAACAAGCCCAGCAGGATGTCTGGCACGTGCTCAATAGAAGCCCTACCCGAAAATCAGCCTAGTGATATGGCCGTGCTATGAAATCAGCCCTTTTGGTGAGGGCGTGGCTTATGAAAAATCAGCCTACATTTGATGGGCGTGGCTATGAAAAATTCAGCCCCTAGTGATGGGCCGTTGGCTATGAAAAAAATCCAGCCCCAGTGGATGGGCGTGGCTATGAAAATCAGCCCTGTGTGATGGGCGTGGCGTATGAATATACCTGGTGATGGCATGGCTTATGAAATCAGCCTTATGATGGACGTGGACTATTGAAATCACCCTAGTGATGGGTCGTGGCTATGAAAATCAGCCCTAGTGATGGGCGTGTATGAAAATCAGCCCCTAGTGACGGGCGTGCTGCGCAGGCGCATCTGCACAACCGTGCGTGTGGTCGCGGAGCGGAAAGAACACGAGCAGCCCTTTCTCATCCCCCGTAGAGCTCTAGTCCTCGACAGGAAGATCGGGCCCGGTGCTCTAAAAGGAAACAGAGTCGAAGACATCAGGATGGGATTCGGGTTCTGTGAGATGAGGATGATGTTCCAGAAGGAGACACTTCACTTCTGTTTGAGTCAGTGAGATGGTTGGCCGTACTTAAAAAAAAATAACACATCCCCTGAAATAATCCCTAGGGTGGTCTTCTGGAGGAAAAATAATATAGACCCCGGTCTTATTTTCTGGGGAAACACGGTAGATTCTGACGATGTTGTTTAACATCATAATTGAACTTCTGAGACTGATTAACTTCCTTCTTCCCTTTGGAAATCGAGTTATCTATAAGGAACTCAGTACAGGCTGTCATGTTAGTGCTAAAGAGACTCTTAAATCGCTAAAGAATCCTCAGATCTGCTGCCAAATGGCATCTCATCTGAGAACTGCTGAGTACTGAGAGTCTGAGAACACAATCTAAATCCCTGCTTCATGGAAAGAAGCCAAAATGTTTCTCAAATGAAATATTCTCTGCCAGGGGTTGTATTTTTGAGAAAATGTAAAATAAGGTCGCAACAATTCGGACCAACATAGCAGCGTCAATAGTAGAGTTATGTCGTATGAAGTGGAATATATTTAGTTGGACCATTTTATTCTTTATTTTTTTTTAAAGACAGAGTCTCACTCTGTTGCCCGGGCTGGAGTGAGCGCCGGGGCGTCAGCCTCGCTCACAGCAACCTCCAACTTCCTGGCTCAAGTATATCCTCCTTTCCTCAGCCTCCTCAGCCCCGAGTAGTGGCTACAGGCATGGGCCCACGCCCAGCTCATTTTTCTATGTATATATTATTGGCCATTTATTTCTTTTCATTTATAGTAGAGACTGGGGTCTCACTCTTGCTCAGGCTGGTTAAACTCCTGACTTTGGAGCGATCCTCCCCGCCGCTCGGCCCTCCGGAGAGTGCTAGGATGACAGGTGTGAGCCACCGCACCTGCCGAGTTGGACCCATTTTAATCCACTATCCAACAGTCTTGCCGAAGAATACGGGAGCAGAGAGAAGTTTCACTCCCGCACTTCCTTAAGTCACACACAGAATAGGTAAGAACATCCCTGTGAACTGTTATATGTGACTGAGCTAACCAGTTTAAGTCCCTCAAGAATTTTGTGTTTTTTCCCCTACAACATCTTCTTTTCTTTTTATTCATTATTTCAGCATATTCACAGGGGTAGCAATGTCAAGTCACGACATTGCCCTTGCCCTTCCTCCCCCCCCTCGAGTCAGTAGCCTCAAGCGTGCCCATCCCGCCCAGACGCGTGCACGTCTGCACTCGTCGTGTCTGTCTACAGTCCCGTCCCCTCCTTCCGCCTCCCACCTGCCCGACACCGACGAATGTCACTCCTGTGTGCCACTTAGGTGCTGATTCCGTCACCCAGTTTGCTGGTGGAGCGCTGGTGCTTGTGTTTCCATTCTTGTGGACGCTTCCCTTAGTATTGATGGGCTCCAAGCTCCAGCAGGAACACACAAGAGGTGCTGGTCACCTGTTTCTCAGAGCATGAGTAGTGCTCGTGGTGCACATAACCAATATCCTACCACATCTTTCTTACAAAAAGAATTCCTTAGGGAAAGCATAAATTTAGTAGTGACTCCTCAGATCTTTAAAAATGAAAAAAAAAAAACACACAAAAAAACCAAACCCACATTTTAGTGAATGACAAATTCCAGAGACATATGCCTAGCAACCCGAAGAAAATGAAGATTCCAGAATGTGCCTGGGGAATATATCATGAATTGTCGCGGTGGGAAACATCATGACTTAGTATATTCTGTATCTTCTTTCCGACTTTACTAAATGAAAATACCCACTCTTGGGCAGGCGGGGAATCCTCTTTTGAACTTGGAACAGGTACAGACATGCAGTACTAAATCTGATGATCTGTATCTGTTTAGTCTTGCACGTTTTTATTTTATTCTTTTGAGACAGATCTCGCTCTTTGTCCAGGCTAGAGTGAGGTGCTCGTGCGTTGTCAAGCCTCGCTCACAGCAACCTCAATCGCTGGGTCAGCTATCTCCTGCCTCAGCCTCCGAGGTAGCTGGGACGAACCCCTTGGAAAGCACCTGTGGAACAGGTGTGTGCTTTCCCACCTTCTTGTCTGCTCGATACATTTGCACGTGTTATAGTAGGTACCGCGTTTCCCCGAGAATAAGCCCTAATCATAAAACAAGCCCCAGCAGGATGTCTGAGCACGTGCTCAATAGAAGCCCTACCCTGAAAATCAGCCCTAGTGGTGGGCGTGGCTATGGAAATCAGCCCTGCTGATGGGCGTGGCTATGAAAAATCAGCCCCAGTGATGGGCGTGGCTATGAAAATCAGCCCTGGTGATGGGCGTGGCTATGATAATCAGCCCTAGTGATGGGCGTGGCTATGAAAATTAGCCCTGGTGATGGGCATAGCTATGAAAATCAGCCTTAGTGATGGACGTGGCTATGAAAATCAGCCCTAGTGATGGGCGTGGCTATGAAAATCAGCCCTAGTGATGGGCGTGGCACGCGCAGCGCATCTGCACAACCCTGCGTGTGTCCGCCGGAGCGGGAAAAGAATCACGAGCAGCCTTCTCATCCCCCCCGTAGAAGCTCTAGCGCTGCGACAGGAGAGATCGGCCCGGTGCTCTAAAAAGGAAACCAGAGTCGCAAGACATCCAGGATGGGATTCGGGGTCTTGAGATGAGGATGATGCTTCCAGAAGGAGACACTTCACTCTGTTTGAGTCAAGTGCAGATGTTGGTGCCGTACTTAAAAAAGAAATAACACTATCCCCTGAAATAATCCCTAGGGTGGTCTTCTTGGAGGAAAAATAAATATAGAAACCCCGGTTCCTTATTTTCGGGGGAAACACGTGGTCGTAGTATTCTTGGGGACGGATGTAGTGTTTTAACATTATAGATTGAACTTCCTGGGAGGCTGATTAACAATTCCTTTCCTTTGTGAAAGTCGAGTAATCTTATAAGGAACTCGAGTAAGGGCTTCATGTTATGCTAAGAGACCTTTAAAATGCTAAGAATCCAGATCTGCTCCCAAATGGCATCTCATCTGAGAACCTGCGAGGTCTGAGGAGTCTGAGAACACCACAAATCTAATCACCTTGCTTCATGGAAGAAGCACCAAAAATGTTTCTCAAATGAAATATTACTTTGCCAGTGGGTTGGTATTTTTGGAGAAAATTAAAAAGGTCTGCAACAATTCGGACCAACATTGCCAGCTCCAATGTAGAGTTATGTCGTATGAAGGTGGAATATATTTGTTGGACCATTTTATCTCTTATTTTTTTTTAAAAGACAGAGTCCCTCGTTCCCGGGCTGGAGTGAGGCGCGGGCGTCAGGCCCTCGGGCTCACAAGAACCTCCAACTCCTGGCTCAGGTAATCCTCCTTTCCTCAGCCTCCTCAGCCCGAGTAGCTGGGACCTACAGGCACCACACCCCCAGCTCATTTTTTCTAGTGGTATTATATTAGTTGGCATTAATTCTTTTCTATTTTATATAGAGACTGGTCCTCACTCTTGCCAGGGCTGGTTAGAACTCCTGACTTTGAGCATCTCCCGCCTCTCCGCGTCCCCAGAGAGTGCTGAGATGACAGGTGTGAGCCACCTGCCCGCCGAGTTTGGACCCATTTTAAATCCACTTATCAACAGTCTTGCCAAGAATACGGGAGCGAGAGAAAGTCTTCACTCCCGCACTTCCTAAGTCCACCACAACAAATAGTAGAACATCCCTTGTGACTGTTATTATGTGACTAGC